GCAACTCACTCTTTCCTCACCTCCGCTGACCACCACCCCCTCTTGGTTGACCCTCCCTCCACCATACCCTCCTGGCTGACTCTCCACCACCACACCTTCCTGACACCCCCTTCACCATACCCTCGTGGCTCACCCTCCATCACACATAAGAACATAAGAAAATAAGGAGTCTACAATAGGCAGGTTGGCCTGTGCCTTTCAGCTCCTGTCGAGAGTTACTACCACTCTCTTATCATCCATGAATCTTATCTAGCCTCCTTTTAAAACTTTCCAGTGTTCCATCACTTACTACAAAGTTGCTAAGCTTGTTCCACTCGTCTACCACCCTATTTGTGAACCAGTTTCCTCCCTATCTCCTTCCTAAACCTTAAATTATCTTACTTAAATCCGTTGCTTCGAGTCCTATCCTGCTCGGACGTTATAAGAACTTTATCTATATCACCTTTATTGATTCCTTCACCCACTTAAATACTTCTATCATATCTCCCCGCACTCTTCGTCTTTCTAGGGAATGTAAGTTTAGTTTCTTTAATCTATTTGGATATGGAAGGTTTCTAAGTCCCGGAATCATTTTCGTCATTCTTCGCTGCACCACACCCCATCTTGGCTGACCCTCAACCATACCCTCCTGCCCACCACACCCCCTCTTGGCTGACCCTCCCTCCACCGTACCCTCCTGACTCTCCCTTCACCTCCTGCTCTTCTCCCCACCATACCCTCCTGGCTGACCCTCCACGACCACTCCATTCTTACCTTTCTCCACAACAGCCTACCATTCCAATATTGTTTAATCAGAGAAAATCCCATACTTACTGGAATCTCTTATCTAAGGTAATCCATAATTTATAAAACTGTGTCCGAGCCTCTGTCTGTGTGTCTGTCTGTATCCGAGTGTCTGTTTTCCTTCTGTCCGTGTGTCTGTCTGTATAAACACAATACCTCCCGATCATTCTCAGCGTCGCCATCCGTGCACAGGTGTCGCTATCCTAAGATCACTTCCAGGTGACCTTGACCTGTTTTTCTCGCCAAGGTGACTCGGGTCATTAGGAGAAATTGGTTTCGGTATAAAGGTATGATGGTGTAATGGTGGAGGCGATGGTGGTGATGGTGTAATGGTGGAGGCGATGGTGGTGATGGTAAGGTTTGTTCCTTGACGTTGGCGGGAGTGGTGGTGGTAGCAATAATGGTTGTGGTAGTGGAGGCAATAATGGTTGTGGTGGAGACGATAGTGGCGGTGATGGTGAAAATGATGGAGGCTATAGTGGAGGTGATGGTGATGATGATATTAATGGTGACGATGGTGGAGATACAATAGGCGATGGTGAAGGTACTAATACAGATGGTGGGTTGATAGTGGAAGATGGAGGGCAGTGACAAGGACCGACTGGAGAGGTACAGGTAAACTCACTCACGGGTATCAGGTGTTGACAGGTGAATGGCTGTTTGTCCGGTCTTTGGTAGGTCCGGGTAGGAGGACCGCCCCGAGACAAGGCCACTGAGAGGTAGGTGTTTGGTGAGGTAGTGAAGTGGTGAAGGGTGGTAGTAAGGTGTTTTAAAGTAGAATCTTAAGGAGCAATAGTAATCTAACCTAACCTAAACTAAACTAAACCAACCTAACAAAGCTAACATTCCCTTACCTTGCCAACCCAACTCAACCCAATCCAATCCAACCCAATCCAATCCAACCCAATCCAATCCAATCCAATCCAACCCAATCCAATTCAATCCAATCCAACCCAACCCAACCCAATCCAATCCAATCCAATCCAATCCAACCCAACGCAACCCAACCCAATCCAATCCAGACACCATACCTGTCTTGCTTTTCATTTATCTTTTGTCCAGGTGAGTTTTTTTCTTGACCGTCCACCAGGTCAAGTAATATGAGGCGAGGAGAACCAGTTGTCTGTTTGCTGTCACGAGGAGAGAGAATTTCCGCCTCTTGACTCCTTACTTCATTGTACTTCACTCTCCTCCTGTAAACTATTGTGTATTTACACCTGATAATGTAAACTATTTTATATTTACATTCGTGGAAAAGGTAAATAGTGAATTGCCGGGATTTTGGGTCATGGGGCGGGGTTGATACGTGTGTGGAACGGGTTTGATTCGTGTCTAGGACGGGGGTCGGTATGTGTCTAGGACAGGGTTGATACGTGTCTAGGACAGGGTTGATACGTGTCTAGGACAGGGTTGATACGTGTCTAGGACAGGGTTGATTCATGTATAGAACCGGTTTGATACGTGTCTAGGACGGGAGGTCGATACGTGTCCAGGACGGGTGTCGATACGTGTCTAGGACGGGTTTGGATGTGTTCTCCAATTTTTTATTATTTTTATTTTAGTGTTTTAGGGTAACTCGGATATATTTTTCTCCGGTGACTTTTAACCATATATAGAGATAGATAGATAGATAGATAGATAAAGCGAGAGGAATAAGAATGATGGGGATATAAATTTTTCAGCTCAATGGTTTACAGAATTTCTGATCTATATCGTAAATTTTAGTTGTCTGATGCAACAATTTAGTGGAGGCGGCTGCTGAGGTCCTGACGCAGTGGCAGCTGGTGGTGGCGGCTCCCCCTTCCCCTCCCCCTCCTGCCCCCACCCCCCCTTCCTTACTCACCTGCTCCCTTCTCCTTCCTTCTTCCCCATACTCATCCCCCCTCTACTCCCCTCTTGCCCCCCCCCCACCATACTCACTCTTCTGCTCCCCCTCCTGCCACTTCCTCCTGCTCCCCCCTTCTGACCCCCACCCCCTCCCCTGTTACTTAAATAGCGAGATTCGTGACAGCATTGATTCTACGCGGTGTTATTTTTCCCGTATATGGGAGTTGTATTTATAGCGGAGGGGGGGGTGGTGAAGGGTGGTGGTGGTGGTAGTGGTGGAGGACGAGGAGGGTGGGTGATAGTGGAGGAGGATGGTGGTAGTAGTGGTGGAAGAAGAGGGTGGTAGGGGATAGTTTGTGTCCCCTTATCATACCCTCGAATTGCCCATACAGGTGTAGGAGGTGGCGCCATCTGCCTCACTCACCAGGTACTACACTCGCCAAGAACGCACCCGTGTTCGCCTCGTATTGAAACCATTGTTAGTGAGTTAACAGCAGGTAACAGAGGTAGTGAATGATGCTCCTACAACTCTGCCAATTTAAGTGTTTGTTTATTTATTTATTTATATATATTTATTTTTTTTATAGATTTTTCATGAACTTAATACGAATTACTCTCTCTCTCTCTCTCTCTCTCTCTCTCTCTCTCTCTCTCTCTTTTCCACTTTCACGCATGAGCTTTCCACTCTCCATTTCCCCCCCTTGGCAATATCTCACCGTAATCTCAACCCTTTGAAGAAGAAAAAAGAAAATCCCTTTTACTTCGCCTACAGGACTAGATGTTGAACTGTTCCCGGGTACACAGAGAGCCAAGACGACTCCCAGTAAGACGTGGATAGGTAGAGCACTCGAGCGGTCTATTGTGATATGATTGGATGTCTGGGAGGTGAGGGAGGGAGGGAGTGTTTGGTGAGGCAGGTTGAGTGTGAGAGATTTTATACCTCACTTGGGAGGGAGAGAATGGAAGTAAAGCAGGGGGGGGGGGAATTGACGACTCGTTGAAAGGTTAGGTTAGGTTAGGTTAGGTTAGGTTAGGTTAGGTTAGGTTAGGTTAGGTTAGGTTAGGTTAGGTTAGGTTAGGTTAGTATTTATGTACAAGTTGAATGATGATAAATTTTGTTATTTTTGCCACGTCATAGCCCCGAGTTTAGCCCTTCATTGGTTACTAAGGGTCTAAGCACAGTCATGGGGGTCTGTAGGTGTGATATTAAACCACTGTTGACCTTCATACTGTCATCTGGGTGGCTCTTGCACAATCATGAACCTTCCCATTGCCCTCGTATATCTTCCTCCTCCTCCTCCACACCATGGGCACTTGCCCTGCTCTGCCCCGCCCCTTCTCTGCCCCTCCTGCCTCCCTGCCCCTCCCCTACCATGGCACTTTCCCCTTCCTCTTCCTGCCCCCGTCCCCCCATCCCCCCACTCTGGCACTTGTCCCAATCCGCCCCTCCCTCTCCCAGTACGGGGTGCCAAGCGCTGGTGCCCTTCTGCGCTGTGGCTGGTACCTGCAGGAGATGTGCTGTAGGTGTGTGTGGTCATACCTACACTCTTCTGCTGCTGTTCCCTGGCCACTGGTGTCCTTGGGGAAGTTTTTACAATGCACCACTGCGTAATTAAAGCTGTACACACACACACACACACACACACACACACACACACACACACACACACACACACACACTGCAGGTATATTACTTTTTTTTTAATTTATCGTTAATTACAAAACCTCCCCACCAAAAAGTTTAGTCTTTCGTTTCCTTAGTTTTTCGTTCACAGAGTTTCCCGATGTTTTGAAATTTCTGTTGAGGGAAAATTTGTTTTGAGTTTTATATAATTAAAAAACTAAAAAGAGTAGCCTAAAGCCTTCTACAGGTGACTTAATTAATATCGAATCCTGATGGTCTGGTTAGGTTAAGTAAGGAAACGTTACTTAAGATTAGATTAGGTTGGGTTTTTCAAGTTATATTGTTAGGTTAGGTTAGGTTTGTCAAGTATTGTTAGGTTATATGTTAGATGTTCATGATCACTGTGGAAGAACACCGCTGAACATTTTACGAACATCAACACCGGTCCGGGTAACACACCTGTACACTATAATTAAACCCTCAGGTGTGTCGGCAATCACCAGGTATTTTAGGTGTCGAAGGTGTTGTTTTGAGGCAATTTTTAGTCGAGGTAAATAACCAACTTCTCTTCACCCTCTCTGCACACACACACACACACACACACACACACACACACACACACACACACACACACACACATCTTTACATCCCCTATATACATATCCATCCTCCTCGACCTCCCACCGCCCACATGCCCCTCCCTCTCTTAGTGTGCCACCTCCCCCCTCCTCCATGCTATATAAATATAAAGCTGAGGTCTCCCACCCCAGCTTAACATTCAGCTTCGAAACCTTTCCGAACAACGACCAACGAAATCCGAACGAGTGCGTCTTTTAATTGTCCTGCCGTGCATTCCGCGGTGCCGGAGGAGTACACTGGGTGACGGACGGACGGCGTATAATATTGTGCATTTAATAATTTGCTTAAACTTGACGAGTGACCCAGCCAGGACGCCACCACCACGCCATGAGACTTCCTTTCTCGGAGAAGGTATGTGGGTGTATGTGGGTGTGTGTGGGTGTGTAATTTATGGGCGATAATTTATACCGTAAGTTTCCTCGTTGGTGGTGTAATGGCCGGTAGTTTGGTGGTTTTTTTTTGTTTATTCCGGCAGAATCTATGTTGCTTCGTTGCGTTTAGTTATGTTGCCTCGTTGCGTCATTATATTGCCTCGTTGTGTCATTACATTGCCTCGTTGCGTCATTGTATTGCCTCGTTGTGTCATTATATTGCCTCGTTTTGCGTAGTCGTGTTGCGTCATTAATATTGCCCGGTTGCGTAGTCATGTTGCCTCGTTGCATTATTATGTTGCGTCATTGCCCAGTTCCGGATGTATATGACGCGGGCAGATATCCCCCCCCCTTCTCACTCTCTCTCTCTCTCTCTCTCTCTCTCTCTCTGGTGTTGTGGTCTCTGCCAACTTCCTCCTCAGTTATTGTTGTATCGGCAGCGAAAAAATACATTCTTGATAAATATTTTGACCCTTAAAATCTTCCTCCATTCAAGATTTTTAAATATTATTGTTTATTTTAATATATTTTGTTTTAGGATTAATTTTTTTTCAGGTGTTGTGTGTGTGTGTGTTTGTCGGGGTTAATTAATTCGTGTACAGGTGTTCGTGGAAATACAAGGATAGAATATTTTTTACTCCCTTGTGGTGTTGTGGTGGTAGTGTGGTGTTGTGGTGGTAGTGTGGTGTTGTGGTGGTGGTGGTAATGCGGTGGTGGTGTTATGGTGTTGGTAGTGTGTTGTTGTTGTGGTAGTGTGGTGTTGTGGTAGTGTTGTTTTGGTGGTGGTGGTAATGTGGTGGTGGCGTTGTGGTAGTGTGGTGTTGTGGTGTAATGTGGTGTTGTGGTGGTGTTGTTGTGGTGGTAGTGTGGTGTTGTGGTGGTGGTATGTGGTGGTGGTGTTGTGGTAGTGAGGTGTTGTGGTGGTAGTGTGGTGTTGTGGTGGTGTGGTAAATGGTGGTGGTGTTATGGTGTTGGTAGTGTGTTGTTGCTGTGGTAGTGGTGTTGTGGTGGTAGTGTTGCGGTGGTGGTGGTGGTAATGTGGTGGTGGTGTTGGTGGTGTTGGTAGTGTGTTGTTGTGGTAGTGTGGTGTTGTGGTGGTGGTGTTGTTTTTGGTGGTGGTGGTAATGTGGTGGTGTGTGGTAATGTGGGTAGTAGTGTTGTTGTGGTGGTGTGTGGTAGTATAATTGTGGTGGGGTGAGCTCTCCCCGCGGGGCTCTCCTTGTGTCAGAACCATTTGGCTCGTGTCAACACTACCAGACCTCTTTCATCTTAAGGGGAGCTGTCTAGTTGTAGGGAGTCGACAAAGGGAGAGGGTGTCGAGTTGTGGAAGGGGAGGGAGAGAGAGGGTGTCGAGTAGTGGAAGGGAGGGGGGAGGGAGGAGAGGGTGGCCGAGTAGTGGGGAGGGAGGGAGAGGGTGTCGAGTAGTGGAAGGAGAGAGTGTCGAGTAGTGAAGGGAGGGAGAGGAGAGGGTGTCGAGTAGTGGAAGGAGGGAGAGGAGAGGGTGTCGAGTAGTGGAAGGAGGGAGAGTGAGAGTGCCGAGTAGTGGAGGGGAGGAGAGGAGAAGGTGTCGAGTAGTGAAGGAGGGGGTAGGGACGCTTATGTGTGAGGGAAGGGGGATGGATCTAGACTGGCTGAAGGGATGGGTGCACAAAATGTCTATAAAGGTCATATTTGAAGGGGAGAGGATGGCCGGTTTGATGCGAGGCGAAATAAAATGTAAAACTACCAATGCCTTTTAACACAACTCTCAAGTGCTTCCTGTATGACTAATGACCCAGTGCAGTGAGGTGGCAATATGTGAGGCAGTGCAGTGAGGTGGCATTATGTGAGGCAGTGCAGATGGGTGAGGCAGTGCAGTGAGGTGGCATTATGTGAGGCAGTGTAGTAACTTTACATTATGTGAGGCGGTGCAGTGACGTGACGTTACGTGAGGCGGTGCAGTGACGTGACATGTGAGGCAGTGCAGTGACCCCCTAGGTGGTAAGACGCGCCACTAACACTCACACACCCTTGACACCGTCGCCATGTGTGTGTGTGGAGAGAGGCAGGGGAGGAGAAAGCAGCAGGTTAAGAGATCTTCCCGTGTACAGCAGCGGTAACCATAACGATCTTGAGGGTCTTGCTTCCCCACCCACCTATCCACACCCTCTCCCTCCCACCCACTCCATGCAGCATCCCACCCATCACAACCCTTCCCCACCCACTTCCTTACTGCAACCCACCCACCATACCGTCCCCCCAACTTACCTCTCACCTCCCCCCCACCACCTCACACCACACCCCTCCCACCTCCTCCTCCTACACCACACCCCTCCCCACCACCTCACACCACACCCCTCCCCACCTCCTTCCTACACACCACACACCCTCCCCCACCACCTCACACCACACCTTCCCACCACCTCACACCACACCCTCCCCACCACCACACCACACCCTCCCCACCTCCTTACACCACACCCTCCCCACCTCCTTACACCACAACCTCCCCACCCTCTTTTGTGCACCTTATAAGCACTAGTGAGTAAACGAGTTTTTTCTATAACATATTTATATAATTTCCTGTGTAATCATATCTAGTCTTGTTTACCTTTGATTGATGACCTTGTTGTGATGTTGTTGTGGTATTATCGTCGTGATGGTGGTTGGAGTGGGTGTGTGGTGGTCTGTATTACACCTGTTCTCACCTGTACACTAGTTGCTATACACTCAGGTCAGGTGCGTCTCGTGTTGTTGTTGTTGGGTGGGGTTTTTTTTAACCTGTGGGTCCTGGTGGCGGTGTGAGTCATTGCCCTCTTGTCGTTTGTGTATTGTGGCACACCCTTGGCACCTTTGATAGCCTTTGGCACTCTTGATAGGGTCTGACACCTTTCTCCCCTTGGCACTCTTGACCCCTTGGCAGCATTTGGCACCCATTGTCCCCTTGATCTTATCCTTGACTATCGTTTATGCGTCAGTCATGGTCGAGGCCGTACACACACACACACACACACACACACACACACACACACACACACACACACACACACACACACACACACATTCTGGCAGAGGTTTAAAAAGTGGGGGTGGAGTGGGGGTAAGTGGTGGGTGTGAGTTTTAACGAGGAAGGGAAGGAGGGAGAAAGGATGGGGTGAAGGAACGAAGGAAGGAACGAAACGAGAGGTGGGGAAGGACAGGCGAACTGGGGGAGGGGAAAAAAGAGGTAGAGGTAAGAAAGGGAGGGAAAGAAAGTGGAAAGGAGGAAGGATGGGGGAAGAAAAGGAGAGGTTAAGGGAAATGGCATAGGGGTGAGGAGAAAGACAGCCAACCAGAGAGAGAGAAAGAGAGGAGGGGAGTTGTAGAGTGCAGTGAGCGAACCGTAATGGGAAATGCATGTTGTGGTACTGCAGAGAGAATATTTACCACAGGGCAGTATTATGTCGCGGCCTGGTGTAAGTCCCGTAGCGACCCCTTTACCCTTACTTTTCACCCTTTTACCCTTATTTTTCACCCTTTACCCCTATTGTTCACCCTTACTTTTCACCCCTTTACCCTTACTTTTCACCCCTTTATCCTTACTTTTCATCCCTTTACCCTTACTTTTCACCCCTTTATCCTTACTTTTCACCCCTTCACCCTTACTTTTCACCCTTTCACCCCTTCTCCCCTCTTTCCTACTTTAACCCCATCCCATCCTATCTCACCCTTCCCCTTCATCCCCTTCCTCTCTTCTTCCTTCCTCGTTTTCTCCTCTCTTTCTATCCCCCCTGTTCTCCCCTCACCCTTTCCTCTTCATCTCTCCTCTCTTCCTCTATCCTCTTCTCTCCGCTCACCTTACCCTTCCCCCTTTCCTCTCATCCCCTTCTCTCTCCCCTAACCCCTTCCTTTCTTCCCCTCCCTCTTCCTCTCAGTATCCCAGCACAACTAGAATGGGCGGCTGGTGAACACAGACGAGAATTTGTAATGCACCAGGAAGAGCTTTGAAGTTATTGAAATTTGCTGCAAAAAACTAATTCGATAAAAAACTAAGATGACCATTTTTGTAATTTAATATTTTACTAAGTTATTCCTGGGCCATTTTTAAAAACACATTTACTACGTGCTAAGTGTCTTGTCATTAAGGGTCATTTTATCCTTAATGAGGTGGGATAATAGTTCTTGGTACCTCGAATTATGTCCCGAAAGAGTTTAAAAAAAAATAGATATGTCTTAGGAGGGATTCACATGAAGATTAGGCACCCTAGTTTACTTTACCTGAGGATTAATCACCCATAATGTTACCTGGGGGCGGGGGGGGGGGTGACTAGAGCAGGTTAAGTTAGGTTAGTTTAGGGTGGTTAATCTTCAGGTGGAATTAAGGTGTTGTACTCAAGAGTTTAAGTCATCGTATTGAAGGTGTGAAGCCATCGTACTCAAGGGATTAAGTCATTGATCTCCAGGGGTTTTATAAGCCATCGTACTCAAGAATCAAGAACCCACCGTACTCAGGTTATCATACTCATTGGGTTAGGTCATTGTACTGAAGCCATCGTACTCAGCGGGATTAAGTCATTGATCTCCAGGGGTTTTATAAGCCATCGTACTCAAGAATCAAGAACCCACCGTACTCAGGTTATCATACTCATTGGGTTAGGTCATTGTACTCTAGTGGGGAGGGGGATCGTCATTGTACTCAGCGGGTTAATATCATCCGAACTCTCACAACACGTTAACTATACATGACTGGGGATTAATTGTAAAGAAGGGCCAGTCTCTCCTGAAACTAGGTCTCGTCTCTTGTCTTCCCTCGAGAGTAAACATTGTTGTCTCCTTCATCTTCTTCACATTCTCACTTGTTTTCCCCCGACCAACCCACTCCACCTCAACCCACCTCAACCCACTCCACCTCAACCCACCCCATCTCAGCCCACCTCACCTCAGCCCACCCTACCCTACCTTTCAAACTCTTATTACCACTACGCTTCCGTTCCCTGGAGATGAGTTGACAAATTGTAAAGG